TGATAAAATTACATCGATGAAAAATAAGGATAAATAATGAAAAAAAATTTCTTTGCTTTGAAATTTAATTGTAATTAAACTTTTAATAAATAATTAAATAATAATTAATAATTTTTATTCTGAAATATTATTAAAAATTTCAACTCAATGTAATTTATTGCTACAGAAAAAGATAAATCTAATAAAATGAAATGGAAAATAAATAAATAAATAATTTTGTTCGAAAGAAAAATTGTGTTATTTATATTGTTGTTGATTGAGAAATTAATAACAATAATAAAAATACATTCGAACATGAATTATAAAAATTATATTTTAGATTTTTTCATTTTGAATAAAAATATATCATCACATAATTAGAAAATGTTTCAAGATCTTTAATTTTCACAATTTTTCATAATTATATCGCCGTTACTTTTATTTCTATTTTCCGCTCGATTACAAATCGCAATTAGAAAATGTCGCAGCGTCAACGAAATTTTAATCTGTCGCCATTTCTTTTTTTTTTTTTATTTCTCTGTTTATCCCACAGAGGCCGGGCGCGTCGAAATTCCACTAGATTCATTTTCACGCGTGCCGTTGCTCATTAACGTCGAGAGCCTCGCGACGGTGTTAACGGCTTGTTAGCATTTTGCAAGCTGTGTCACGATAGGCGTGCCGCGATAATTTATTGGCTCGTAAATTTACGCTTTCCCGAATATACAGGATACAACCACGTGTTTACTTGACGTCGGTGTACTATATCTGTTCTGTGGCTGATCTTTTCGATGATGGACAGCGAATGCAGCTTCCGCCACCGATTTGTTGGATGAGTGTTATATGGTGGCATTATGTCGACGGTTTTCCACGAGAAGAAATTCGTATTTGTAAACACGCCCGGTCGAAACACGGTTGAAATGGTCAGCTCGAATTTCCCATTCGCCACCATTGAAACTTTATATTTAACTGTAAAAACAAAATATTTTTTTAAACTCAGAAGTGCTCAACTTTTACGAATCAAATTATTTGAAAACATTTTTGATCGAATGGTAACAATGTTACTTTACTATAGTGATATAGTCATTTCTAAAAATATATTTTGATGCATATTTGTGCAATATACAAGGTAATGAAAGAAGAATGCATTTTTTAAGAAATTTATGTTATTAAATTAAAAAAATATGAAAAAATTTTTTATTATATGTATATGGAAATAAATAATAAATATAAAATAATTTTTGGTGGACAACTTACTCATTAATAAAAAATTATTCATTAAAAATATATGTATGAATCGATATAGAACAATAATGAATAATAAGATAATAATAATAATCAATATAATATTATTATAAATAATTTTCTATATTAAATTTATAAAATTTTTCTAATATAAAAATTAATTTTTTTTTATTATTTCAATAACAGGTTAATACTAAATTAAAATTTTTTTATTTTTTGATAATATATGTATATTATAATTTAATATATTACAAAATATTTTTTTTATGCATATTTATTCTAGATATAAAATATAAAATGTATTAATTGTACTATGTATTTATGTTTGAAATTTTTTAGTTAAATATAATATAAAGTATGGTATAAAGTTTCGAGTTTATTTTTAATCATCATGATGTTCCTTTACTTGCGTCACTGCTTTTTTAATCTATTCATTAAATTTTAACAAGATTTTAACGAGATCGCAATTAATATCCTTTTAGTTTGATATAAATCCGAAGAAGTATTATAGATAAGAGATATTTTATTTTATTTATTTATCTTTATATTAGATAAATATTTTGATACATAGAGAGTAGAAGAAACATTAACATTATCTGAATATTGTGAAGAAAGCAGCATGTTAAAAAATAATTAATATTAAAATTCCAGTTTGAAAAAGTATAATGATAAAATCTTGCCAAACACGTTGATTTTTAAACGTAGATAATTATCACTGCAAGTCATTTTAATGAAAATGAACAATCAATTTATTTTATTTTCATAAATGAAAAATTTAATCATCTTTCGAAATTATTATAATCTTTTGTTATTTAATTTTAATTTGTATTTTTTTAATTTTACAAATTTGAATTTTCATATTTTTATCTAAAATGCTAAATGAAAGTATAAATAATACAACATAAATAATAATACGGCATATTGTATAAACTATTCAAAATTAATTTAAAATTATTAGGAATATCAATATTTTTCGTTATAATTTCTGTTGATAAATGTATTGCGAATAATATATTATTTTTAATAATTTATATCTTAAATATATATCATATAAGCATTTTCAATTATAATAGATAATGTGATGTTGTATAAAGATATTATATAAACATATTATATATTCAATAATTTAAAAATGCATACTGATTCGAGAAATATGTGCAAATATGTGCAAACTTAACATATTATACATATGATATATACGTATAAAAATCAATGAAAATCATATGAAAACAGATACAAAAGTACGTATTCGAATTATGCTAATAAAATTATTTTGAAACGAAATCTTGTTTTTATTCACGATTAGATGAATTCATTCGATAGATAAATTTCTCGCAAAACTGCTTATTTCAGAAAATACGAAAACATTTCGAATACATATATATTGCTGTAATGTAATTGTATTAAAAAAAATTAATAAAACAGAAAATTAATATAAATTTTAAATGAATTAAACTCGAAGAATCAGAAAAGTATTTTATAATGTTATGAAATACAGCAAAAATGTTGTTACGATTGTTTGAAGATTAGTTATTCAAATCACCAAGAGAACAAGATGAATATGTATTTAAACTAGCTTATCTCACAATATTTACATTCTGGAACACGTATGCTAGAAACGATTAATTTACATTTTGCAATATCTTTCTATTACCAGATATGTATTACTTCACACAATAAATATTTAAAAATTATTTTAATCATAACATGTTAAGAAATTCGATTCTTTCTTGCTGGAATTTATCCTTTAATTGCTTCGAAGTGATATTAAAAATATTATACAATTTTTTTAATAACTCTATCGTTTTATCTTAATATTATATCATTACATTGCATTATATAAATTACAAAATGCTAACTTAAAGAATATCTTTTCAATTTTTAATTCATTTATAATATAATTTTAAAAATTTATTATATTATAATAGAAACTATAAAAAATTCAGTCAAATTTAAGATCATTTCTTATTCATCATATATTGATTGAAGTATGTAAATCAATTTCAAAATATCTCACATAATGTAAACTATCTTCTGAAATATAATTATTAAGCAGAATTTACGTAATTAATTTTGTTGAGGCTTGTTATGTTTCGAAAATAAAAAATAAATATTTTTATTAATTTTAAAATATTTCAAATAAATAGATAATTATCTTATAATTATGAAGCGAAAAAAAAATCTAATTTTTAATTATTTAATATAAATTAAATGATTTTGATAATTATATTCAAATTATAATAAAAAAGTGCAAATTATTTTTTCATGCTATTAATTTTTATTTTAATGAAATGAATTATAAAATAAGAATTAATATGTATTAAATAATTTATTCGTCACTTCACGAAATACATTATTTATTATTTGAATTTAACGAAAATTACTAATTTTTTAATATAAAACAACAATTATTCATATCATTATATTTATATATAATATCTTAATAACACTATTATTATACTGTTATTATATCTATTCTTCAATAATATTCTGAATAAATCATCAGAATTATTTTCAATGCGATATTTCTTTAATCAACAATCAATACTTCAATTTAATATTTTATTTAAAATCGTTTCTTTCTTCCAGAAGAAATTTCTGTGTAAATAATACGTACGTCTTGTCTGTTGAAACTACACTGATTGTGAGACGAAACTCACGTTGAAATCTGAAAGCGTGAAATCACGTTAGAGGGCTTATGGGATTACGGGAATTAAAATTGAACCACTATCGTTGTCACCTTTAGCGAGAGCCAACGTGTTTGCTCAACTTCGATAAATGCCTACTCGAGATATTCTTTGATATTATCACGTCTTTGTCCCTAAAACTGAAACAAATATTTATCTTGCAATCCTTGTCCACTTATTTATTTAGCAATTCTTTCCTTTTACGATAAATACTATGTATATATTGCATCAATAAATTCCATAGTTAGATATTTGAAAAGTCGATTCTAGAGTTCGCGTTAGAGAAAGCGAGAGAAAGACAGAGTAAATTTTTTTTTCACTTGGATCAAATCTTTAATTTGATTATAACTTAATAAATAAGCTTTAATCGCTATTTTTGCATACTAACCTTTATGTTTTTTTTTTTTTTTGATTTCTAAAATTAATATACGATCTTGTATCATTATGAAATTATATTTAAAAAAAATAACATTGAAAATCTAAGGATTTCATTTTTTTCTTCAAGATGACATTCTATTAATAAAATAGAATTATTTTGATCAATAAAATTTTTTTTATTGACTCTGTATTTAAAAATATCGATAAATTAACAATACAAGACTAGAGAAAAAATAGAGGATTTTATCTTTTATATTTTATAAAAGTAAGCTTTATTCACGATTAGGTAATAGTCATATAATTTTAATTCCATCCTAGCAAACATAAACGTGAAAAAGACGGGAAAAAACCTGACAGAAATATAAATGAAATCTTAAAAAATCAATTTCACAATAAATCTGGAATTTTAAAAATAAACTTTATTCGCTATCCACTAATAATAATCTTAATTCCAATCCTAACAAACATAAAAAGAGAGAAAACATCTGACAAGTGCTCAAATGAAATTTCAAATTTCACAAGTTTAAGAATTCGAGGAGGTAGCCTAATTCAATGTCCGTTCGAATCCTTGGAATCGTTCGATCCCGAGCGGAATTTCATTCACCTGACTGGAACGACACCTATTGAATTTAAGCTCGTTAGAGAAAGGGGGGCCCCGGACAACATGACGCATCACGTGTTCCATAGAGCAGCTACCAGACACCGAAACGTTAGGAGGCCTATCCTTCTACCTTTCAAAGGCGATCCGCCGAACCAGGCCAGGTATCATCAGCCCCAGAGAAGTTGAACGTTGATTGCCAGCTGTGTCGATAAGATCTGATACAGACACTCGAGTTTCCAAAGGCTGCGAAAGGTCACGAACCCTGCTCAACCGTGTGCAACTCGTGATACTTTGCCGGATCCATTCGCAGGGTTCCATCGCGGCTCTTTCGTATCTTTCTGCTTAACTTTCGTGGCTGAACCGTTAGACACCGTTTTATTTTAACCATATAACCCCCTTCTCGGAGAGAACATCCGTTCTCCGAGCACACAGTAGAATATTAGCACGGGCCATATTCTGGTTAATTTAATGGAACGAGTCGCGTGAAAGTGCATCGCGATGTTGTTCATCGTTTATCGTTTCGACAGAGATCGAATGAAACTGTTGAAAATTAGTTCAATTAGCGAGGATAATTTGAATGGTAAACTCTAACTCGAGAAAATAATTATGTACGATAGTATAGGTGAAATTTTTGTTTTGATTTTTGTGTAAATAGAAGAGTTTTGTTTTCTCGAAAATAGATAAAAAGTAAATAAGAAATATTTATTCTTGTTATAAGAGCCATAAGAAAAATAAATAAAAAATTATGGTTTTAGAGGAAATTGAATTCATTTGCAATATTTTATTAGTAAAGGTTTTAATTCAAGAATTAGAAAATTTTAATTATATTCATTGTGTAATATGTATATAAAAAATGTATTTGAGATTGCTAATCAATGTTGAACGAAGTTCTGTTAGTATTATAGCTACAATTAAACTTTATGATATATATATATGTAATTGATTGAGAGTTCTATGCTTTGTTTAATTTTCCTCCTGTTTGTTAGAATACAAAATATAAAAATCACAATTTGCTTGTTGTTATATCTGTCATGATTAGTCATGTATGTCTTTTTATTTATATATGAAAATATATTGTTTAATTGGTGAAATTGCAATTTTAGGTAGTAAGTAAATTTTTGAATGTTTACGCCAACTATAAAATCAATAAGAAATCATCACATCAAAATGAGAAATTTGAAATTTTCAATTTAGAAATTTACTTAAAAGTTTCATTAATAAAAAGTATAGATAATAGTGATTTTTTTTATACTAATAATTTCATAAATTTTGTAAATTTTCAATAAGCGTGCAATATTGCTTATTTAAATTGGGAAAAAATCACATTGGATAAGTGGTTTTTTAGAAAAAATTAAATTTACGAATTAAATTGTTAAAAAAGAAAAATTATTAAAAATGAAATAATTTTCAAATATGGACGTTTATTAAGTGAAAAGATACATATTTAATAAGAGAAATGCATTATGAAAAATAAATTAGTCTTTTTTAGATATTATTCCAGAATACAAACTTGTTAGGTAAGCTAGTTTAAATATATACATATGTAGTAACTCGTATGCTTGGATAATTGGTCATTTAGATAATTGAATATAATCAATGTTATACTGTAATACAACATAAATAAAAGCAAATAAAATAATAATAAAATGGAAATAGATAATAAAATTTTTAATAATATTCCAGAAATTAAGTAATGCTAAATACAAGGATAATTCTAATATTAAATTATCCATTATTAAATATATATAATAATTATTGAAAATAAATTTTTATTTATGTGTTATATTTATTAATATAAAAAAAATCAAAAACCGTAAAGAAATGACTTAAAGGTTAAAACTTAAATTTTATAAAAAGCAAATTAAATTTTGTTAAAATATTAATAATTTCCCTCTGATCTATTCTATTATAGTACTTTGATTGTACTAGAAAAATTAAAATTAAAATGCATCTTGTGATTTTTAATAAAGTAATTCTTAATATATGATAAAATAAAAATAAAAAATAAATAAATCTTATAACAATTTAAATACCTAATTACTTATCTATTTATTGTAAATTATAATATATGAGATGTTTGAATAGTTTTTGAATTAAAATGAAGAAATAATTTTTATGAAATTTGTTAAAAGTTAATTATTTTTACGATTTTAATAAAAATACTTCTTTACTTCTTTTAAAGAACACATTATTTTATATATAATTTTTATTAAAATTAATTTTTAATAATATTTAATTGATTATACACTTGTTATATATTTAATTTTAATTATAATCATTGAGATTTATTAATGATTTGAAATTGGCAGTTTAACAAAAGTTAAATGTATGTATATTATATTGTTTTCATTTTCATTATATTTTATCTATATTCATGAATTATTACTTTGAAACATATATATATATACATACACGCAAACATACATACGCATTCACGCATACACAGTATATTTATTCATATCTATTAATTATTGGAAGTCATTATTTATATTTTATCGTCAATCTTTTATCCCGTGTATGATATATTTTAATTAAAATAATTAAAATTAATTCTATAAAACAAATTTTAATTTTAATTCTAAATTTATTTATTTTATTTATTAATTCAAACACTACTGCACATCGTTAGAAAAATGTTAAAATGAAAGTCTATCTGACGAATTTAAATTACAAATTCAACCAATATCCATATATAAATTAATATCAAAAATACAAACTGTATTTAATATCAATTTTTTTTAAATAAAAATATAACGATCCAATGAATAACATCGAAAGATAATTTCGAAATGTTTCGAAAGATAATAGTCGATATACATAAATATAAATATTACACGTATGTACATCTTAAAAGAAAATGGAAACATTATCTCGAAATACTTGCTTCTGCATCGATTAGAAAAGTTCAGCTCCACGATAGGCCGAGTTATGACCATCTTCAATCAGCGACTACACCGTTTCCTTCGTTTAATGTGAACTGAACCTTGGATCCCGTCGAATGTTTTCTTCACAAAGAAACGAGCGGGCAATTTGAAAAAGTTTGGAACGAATAAAATCGAATCGTGCATCGCCTCTTATCAAGACGAATATCCTTTCCTCGTTCATTAGAGTATCGTTATTGCTTCAAACAAGGCAGTGTAATTCGATTAATTAGCCTTTTCGAGACGCTTAAAGTTATACGTGTGTGTAAGATTATGTGTGTGTGTGTGTGTGTGTTTGTATGCATACTTTCACAGGTATGCACAGATACAAAGAGGGAGAGAAGAATGGCATCCGGAAAGAACCGGATAATTTTTAAGATGTCCCAAGATATCCGATGGATAGAGATAAGAGACATTGAAAAGATTCTTCACGGATTCTTTTTGAAAAGGAAAAATTTTAAAGTCGAGCAGCTTATTCCATGATTAGTTTAGAAATGAAAAGTTATGCAAATTTTTGTATATCTTTTGTATTTTTTACGCCTTTTGAACGAGATAATTGAAAATTTCAAATAAAATATGGTAAATTGATCAAATTTAAATCTAAAAAAGCGTTAGTAAATGATATTTTCACCAAAAAAAAAAAAAAAAAAAATAATCATATATTAATATTATGGCAACTAGTGATGCAACTAGCGCCACGTGACTACTAGTAGCTAATGCAAATAATTATGCAAATGTATATGTATATTTACTTATTTATATTTATGCATTTCTTTCTTTATTTATAATATTATTTCTAATTTTTTATTTTTCAAATATTCAAATTATTATATTCTTCTATGAAAATATGAAAAAAGCATAGCATTTTTATTAAACTTGATATAAAATCATTATAGTTATTAATATTATTTTTGTAGATATAATCTATGTTTACATAATTACTTTAATATAATCATTTTATAAATATGTATAAATATTGTTGTAAGTTTAAATCAGATAGATTTTAAACAATTTCAAAAAAATGTTTAAATTAAAAGAAATCAAAGGTATTATATTTCATTAAAATAATCATCAAATTGCAAAATTTTAGAGTACTACAAATAAATTTTGATTTTAATTAGAATAATAATTTAATGTAATCTCTCATATTTTAAATGAATATTCTTTCCGTTTCAAATAAAAATAAATTCTTATCTTTGAAAGATTTGAAAAATCATTGTCTATATAAAAGATAGGTATTTTTATTTTTTTCATAAAGAAATTCAGCTGCAATTTGAGAACGAAGATTATATTAATTGATTGAATAAATTATTTTTTATAAAATCTATTATTTTTTATCATTCATCAAAACTTTCCTATCAATATTATTTGATCGTATATTCACTCAGTATTAAAGAATTAAAGCGTATTAGATAATTCATAATCTCTTCTTTGCCCCGACAAAAGCGAAGTGTGTGTATGAAGCTGTTGTAATGCATTTAAGATCACTAAGAGCAGAGGCAACTGGCTCGTATTGAAATTTCACGAGTCCTCGATGTCTCCTGCGACAATAGGCGCACCCTTAGAGACGATATGTCGAGAATGGGTGTAATTAGCGCTTCTATCATCTAAAAGCAATCATATTCGCTCGATCTAAGTGCGAAACAATGCACCGTTTGACCTAATTCCTTGGCAAAAATGCCAAGTTTAGGAGGATCTTTATTACGTGTCCGTTGAAGATATTTCAGATCGATTTTAATTTTCAATCAAATATCTCGTTTCCACTTATCGAAATATCGAGAAATTCGTTTCGATTAAATTTAATAAATAATATTTGATTAAACGTACGGGTGATGAATTTTCATCAACAAGTATTTGCAGGCATTGTAAGTAACGTAGATGTTAAATGTTACAGTCTTGTTTTAAAAGTGGTACAATTTTTTTAATTAATGTAAAAACTTGACAAATATTAAGTTTCGAAAAATACGATATATAATAATATTTCAATATTCTTCTTTGACGAGGAATTTTCTTAATTATTAAAACCTCCTTTCTACGATGTATTTATATATTTTTTGAGATATTATCAGACTACGAAAAAAAATTTATTAACTTAATAAGACAAATGATGTTTTTGTCATTTAAAGAATCCTGAAGAATTTTACAATTAGAAAAACGTGTTTTTCAAGTTGTATCATATTTTTTTTTTTTTAATGTCGGACTGCTGGATTATTATCGATAGAAATGAAATTTCTAGGAAATTAATTAATTTAATAAATATTTCAATTTCTATGATGAAAAAAATCGTGAATTTCATTATTGTTAAGAATATTATCTTTAAGAATAAACTTTGATTGCAAAGATATACTTAAGTACTATACTTATTTATGCTCCAATAAAATTTAACTTGTACTAAATCTATGAACATTACATTTCTATTTCTAAATTTTTTATTCAAAACAATTTATTATGTTTGTAAATTATTTTCAATTATATTTTAAAACAATATCATAATATTACTAATAATATATATTGTAATATTTCATAAAAATACATATATCTTATTTACGTTGTT